GTGGATTCCCCAGCACTGGACACTTTTGAGATTCGTCTGGACATGGTGCTGGGCCATCTTGTCTTGGCTTTTGCCAAGACAGCTTGGACTAGATGATCCTTGAGGTCCCTTCCAACCTGGTATTCTACAATTCTATGACTTTCTCTTTTCAAAACTTAAAGAGATTTAATTCAGTCCCCAAGAAAACTTTTTAGTTTAAGAGGACTCTTCTCAAAAGCTAGGGGAACATTTCACAGGCTTTCTCTGATCATCACCGTTTTACCAACTTGAAGACAGGGATCTCCGCTACTGATAATTTGTTACAGTTCAACTTGAATGGTGCCTAGAATGGAGTTCTTCCAACAGCTCTGAAAAAAATGTAGCCTTTCTAGTCTGAAAAGACACAAACCTTTCCCTTGTTCAATCAGACCTGAACAGTAAACTTGAAAATCATATACCTCTCTTTAGGCTTCAGTTTTTAAAATTTCACATGAGATTTGTCATTACTGCTAGTAAAATTTTGAGGAAAAATGTGTTGGAAAAGTTTTAAAACTTTAAACAACATACAGTGGGATACTATGATTACAGAGTAATTTTCTGTTCACTTATTTATTGCCTCTAATCCTTTAGTAAAGTTATTTTTTCCGGCTTCTAGCCCAAATATCCCTCACAGATCCAGAGGAAGGAAGAAAACTACTTGAAGACCAAAGTGAAATACTTAAAAGATATGAAGCTCATAAAAGGGAGATATTGCATGAAATATCTAAATATCTATAATGAAATTCTATCCAAAAAAAAAAAGAGAACCATTTTACAAAATAAAATATATGTAAGAGTTTTGGCTATCCTATTCAAAATGCAAATAAAATATTGTTAACTATTACAGTTGTCAGCAGACCAGCTTATTATTGCTTTCTGCCTTTGAACTCAAACTAAACTTCTAAGAATAAACATTGGCCATTTATATATTTTTCAAAACCCCAGTTTTCTAATACCCTTTTCTTAAATAAAGAAAATTCAAAAATAAACGTTTCTAACTGAACTTAAAGATACTACCTTTTCTCAGACACGGGTATCGAAAGAGCTTTACTATTCCATAATCATCAGCTGTAACCATAACTTGCCCAATAAAATTTGCATCCACAGAATTTATATCATTTATTTCTGAATATTTGGGCCAGATTCCATTAACTTCAAGGCCAGAAACACAGGTCCATGACGCCCACTGAACGCCTTTCAATTCCTCCTTGTTTGTTACTTCTTTTCCACCTAGGAACAAAAATAAAGAGCTATTTTTCAGTATTTACTTATGCACTTTTAAATAATGTAGAATTTTAAGTTCTCCAGAAATCGTATCCAAGTGAGACAGAATTAAAAACTCACATTCTAAAACTGCTTTGATCTAATATTCTCTATTATGACCAACAGTATCAGTAGTAAGACTTCTCAAAACTACTCAACAGAAGATCATGCTTTTGGTACTTCATGGTATTTATTACTTCTTGGTGTCTGCTTGAGACTGTGTTACTTTCAAACGTTTATCAAAAAATACACGTAGCCATTCCAGGAAAAGTTTGGAAAAATTCTGTTGCTGAACTGTTTTAGAAAACTGCATTATTTAGAGCAAAAACTGAAGAACTCACCTGGCCACTGTAAATTACTGAAAATACCAATTTTATGCTTAGATCCTTGTTACATTAGAGATAGAGCTGATGTGAAATAATAAGATCCCACAAAGTTTCACGTAAGAACTTATGTACTGAGTCAGACCAAAGGCCAGTTAACAAATACTCTGTCTTCAGGAATGGCTAGAAGCAGAGTGCAGGAGCAACACAAGAACAATGCAAGGAAACAAGAGTTGTGAGTTGAACTGAGCATGCAATTGCAGAACCTGAGCAGGACACTTCCAACAATTCACCATCAGTCTTTAGTGGTAACAAAAAACTGAAGGTAACTGGCATGTTTTTGGTTTTTTTCCTGTTTTCTTGGTGCTAATAGGATTCTGACTGGTGGGAGGGGATGGCTTTTAGTGGGAAGCAGCCTCAGGTACTGTAAAGAGGTAAATTTCAACAGAGCGCTATGGCAAAGGACAACTCAAGTTGACTGGAATAAAGAGTAAACAACAGCCACAGAGAAAAGATAAAGCAAAATGAAAAACAGTTCAGAAAGGAAGAATTAAAAAAAAAACCAAACCACCAAACCCAAAACCCCACACTAGAGGAAAAGTTTAACTACTATATATCCCTCCAGAAACTGGAAAGGAACTCAAGTGCCCTGTCTGAAGATCCTTTAGCTCTGATAAAATAACTGTACCCTTTGAGAAGGTTTACCTTGTAATCTCTTTCAATCTCTAATCCATGTAAACGATGACTACTAATACTGGTTATATCCATGACGGTGTCCTACAGATCTTGTATCAGACAACTGTAAGTCCCTTACTCGTTTACAGTGGAATTTTAAGTATTATATGGTTTCAGTGAATATTTAAAAATATTTAGGAGTTCCTCTAACTTCACTGACTTTGCTAAACTTTCTTCATAAACAAGCTTTCACAATCCCACATTCTAATACATCAAGACGCTCTCGGCTGGAGGCTGCCTATACACCTTCAAATTGCTCCTCCTGTGGGTACGTATTTGTTACGGTCTAAGTAAATTCTCACCTACAATCTTTTCCTACATACCTTCTGTCTTATTCCATACACAAAATCAAACTTGTGCATAGAATGAATTAGATGCTTCAGCAAAGAGTCACAAAAAGATCCATGGAACTATCAATGATGTACCATGCAAAGCATAAGTATTTTGTAAGAAAGGAAGGGACAATATAGTAAGTGGTGATGACGATAAGTACTTACTACAAATACGATGACTGGGAAAAAATATAGAATTGAAAGAAACAAGACAAACCTTGTCAAAAATGGTGCCCTTGACATACTGTAAATGAGGACTAGTTGGATTTGAAGCTTTAATATATACGCACTCATACATCCTCTGCAGAGAGAATTGTCTTGATGAAAACTGCTTCAAAAGTATGGGACAATTCAGTGAAGTTTGAGACAGTGTTGTCTTGAAAATGTTTACAATAATGGGGTTGTCAGGAACTTTGAACCCAAAACCTGTATTTTTAATATTATCTAATATATGAATTTTCCTTAATAGTCCCCTGCCACAAAAAAGGACGCATTTGCATTATCAGTAGACTGCCCAGCTAAATTTAATTTTAATATTTTTATACATTTTGAAGGTTGCAGGATATGTAGATGTACCACAGCTTCAACATTTTTTTCCCCCCCCCCACTGAGCAATTCCTAACATTCTGGCATCCTTATATCAGGTACTCTGATCTTCTCAACAGTTACTTAATCCTGTTATAATTCCAAATTCCTGTGCATGCTGATTGTTTCTATCTACTAATAATTTCTCACCGTAAAAGAACTTTTAAGTTACATTCCTCAGTTCTGCTGCAAGCATAGTTCTAGAAACCAGACGACATTTCTAAGGCGCAATGTATTGATTTTTCCACGCATTTAAAAAAAAAACATACAGGGCAAGCAAATGATAATCCACTGAATATCCAACCTCAGTAAGTACAAAGATGTTAAGCTATTGCAAAATTGAATTTGAATGCAAATGGGTTTTTTTCTTAAAAAAAGTGGGAGCAAATATTCAGCTTTGAGAAATGAAATTGTAAGCCAGTATCTCTACCATGAAAAGAAGCATTATAAAGAAGACTAAATGTATAAGAAAAGTATTTAGGTTAACTTTGCCAGAAAATGCTGTATTTATTCAAATGTTGCTAATATTTATACAAACTTAGAAAAATTTCTCAGTAACCCAGTGCTTTCAACCAGGATCTATATTTAGCTGTTTTTCACAAAACTACTGTACATTGTTACTTATTAGAGAAAGAAATATCATAAAGGCAACTCAGAATCTTACTTGGCATCCTGTAAAACAGCCTCTTCCCATTGCCATCATTGGTCTGTAAGTATTTACTGTCCGAAGACCAATCCATATGGGTGATGAAACTTAAAGATCCAACACATTCCCCAACTTTTTTGTATCGCTGAACAACACCATATATATCCACAGAGCTGTCATTGGAACCAACAGCAAGGAAATTGCCATCTGGTGAATATTTCAGTTCATGAATAGCTTCTTTCCTGTCTTTGATATGAACAACCTCAGTCATATCTCTGTAGTGTGAAAGAAAGTATGACATAAGTATAGAAGAGCCTTATCATACTGTCCAGTTCCCAGTTTTAAAAAACGGACAAAATTGTGGAATGATAAAGTGAACTTTACTATCATACGTGCAAATACAACACTGCTATTTTTAGGGTTGGGTAGGGCTTCATGGCCAAAAATAAAGGGAACAGTGACACAAAAAGGTCCTGCACTGGGCTGGGGGAGAGCGAACAAAAGGAACTTTTCAAACTGGGTCCACAAAAAACTTGATCAGGTAGATAACCAGACCTTTAGTCACTCAGGGAAGAAAACTGCACTGACATGGGACACACATCTCATTTCCCCTTTAAAACTGTGGGATCCCCACAACAAGGTGGCGCTGATTTTGTATGGGTGATGTGCTGACAGCAGCATTCCAACACATAGAAACAATTTAGGATGTAATGAAAATTTATTTCTTAATAATTAATAAAGCCTAAACCTAAAGTAAAACACTTCATAGAACGCTGCCATTCTTTGCAAATACGCCAATATACTTTTTCAAATGAGTTGTTATGGGAAGTCTCTTCCATTGTACACACACATTTAAAAAATCTCAGCACCCTCAAGATCAGCAATTTAAACCAGAAATGTGATCTCTTCATATACGGTCACTACAATGTCAACATACATGCAACCTATAACAGCAATTAGGTAACATGCTTGAAAGACTAAATAACGTCTCTATTTTTAATTTTTGTAACATACCTGACTCGAAGCACAGTGAAAGAGCCATCCTTCATTCCAAGAGCGAGATGGATTCCATCAGTACTAACTGCGGCACAGCGAATGGGCTCCTCCATATTGCACCGGGCAATCAGGGCATGGTCTATTAAACTCCAAATTCTAAAATAAAGTAGTAATTACAAACATAAAGAGTGGTTTGTAGCTGTGTGATAGATAGCATGAAGCCTGCAATTTCTGCACAACACTGGACGTGGTAGTGTCCTATTTTAAAATAATTTTCCACAAGGGAAATCAAAGACAAATGCGTGAATTTTCTATACAGGAAAGAATATTTTTAAAACAGCGAGAAAATATCTAATGAGAAAATGCAGAGGCAGATTCATTTTTCTTGACTTTCTGAATATAAAAAGAATGACAACATATGCCAGTATATACCTTTAGGCCACTAACAGGAAAGTGGAATTTTCACAATCATTTTAGCAAAGAACATTAAACAACAATTAAAGATTTTGCTCAGTAAACTTATCCTCTCCTATTAACAAGCCATTATTACTAACACCTTACATTTCACTAGACAATATTATAACATGTTTTTACTACAAGATATATTATTACAACATCTATCATTTACAAGTTACATCTGGAATTGTAGAGCAAAATTTCAATATTCATAATTCAACTACTGTTTTGCTTAACAATGTTAGTACTTAAGACATTTAACAAAAATGCCAACTCATTTAATTACTAAGAAAGGGTATGACAAAAAAAAATGAACTTGTAAAAGGGAGTAATTTACTGTGTTTTCATAGATTCTATTTACTATGCATGCATTGTTTGATGAAACTATCAATATAAAAGTGAATTTCCAGCCTGTGAAAGATTAGGGTAAGAATAAAAATTCTACGTTCTTATTACAATTTTTTTCATTGTAACCTGTGAATGCCTAAAGTAACTCCAGAAAAGGAAACATGGGATACTTGTATGTAAGTGCTTAACATTAGGCTAAAGAAAATTTGTTCAAATCTTATGTATTTCACAAAAATTAAGTGTACATTTTCATTATAGTATATTACTGGAGAGCTCTAATTTCAAGCATAACTTAACTGGTTTACAAGCCCTTCAATGCCAATTTGAATACTTTTGAAATGTATACATTTCAATTAGGTTATCTACCAAACAAGCTGTGTGTATGAAACGGAACACAGTTAAAGAAACAAAACAGATTTAACCTGACTGATCGATCATCACTTCCGGTCATTGCTAGCGGTTTTGTAGGATGGACGGCCAAAGCCCACAGCTCCCCTTCACAGTGCCCCTGCATTATCAGGAAAGGCTTATTACGCTCATGCACCACAATTTCAAAAATTTCGCTATCTTGTGTCCCGACGAGTATATGGTCTCCTCTCCAGCAAACACTTCTTACAGACAGACCTGTAGACGAGATCGTTACTGAGAGATGCATTCTGAGAATTCATGAAACAAAGGTAACGTAGCACATGACAAAACATAAAACCAAGAAAACGTCAAGAAGTATCCATATACCTTCTCTTTTTCCTCCATTTACTCCTTTTATCTATTCCATATAACACATGCTGCCCTTGGAACATGTAACTTTTCAAGGTTAGTATCACAAAAATTGTAAAATAAAATGTGAGCCTTATTTTAATAAAGGACCTAGCCAATTCTTGTATTATGACATCTCTGACAGAGAAAGGGAACACTGACATTTGCATCTCAAATTAGGCATTTAATGTCTTTAAATTTCAACAAAGGCAGCAGACAAGATAAATTATGGTTTCTAATCAAAGCGCAAACGTCAGTTCTAGCTAGATGGACCTAAATTATATAAGTGACAGAAGCATAACTGGAACATGCATTATATAAAGACAGTCGAAGAGCCCAATTCCCCCCAGCTTAAGAAGATCCCCCAGAATCAAATCTTTGTAACGTCTTAGTAGTATTGGGAATTATTTTTCCCACTAAATAGAATATAAAAATAAATCAAACTGAAACAATTTACAAAGAGATGAGAAGGGTTTATGATGGAACTTAACATGCATTTCTAACAACTGAATTAGCTTCCAGGAGGTGAGGTAGCACCTTCCTGGGAAGTGAGGTGAGCATTCACAGGCTGCACTTGTTTGCAGATAAGGTTGGAAATAATAAAATGGAAGTTAGGATAGTGGTACAGTGAGAACCCAGCCTTAGGTGCCCAATTTGAGGAACATGCTCCTTTTAAAATAGGCTGTATTTATTACATTCTGATAGTGCAACTCAATTTTGCCTACTTCAGGTGTAGATAACCAAATGGTAGCAATGCCTAACTTCACTTTGCCTAAACAGACTTTTGTGGAGAGCAGAATGGTCTAGAATGATTGTTTAAAAAACTCTGCTACATTAATATGTGAGACAAAATGCTATTTATCAGGTGAGAAAAAGGGATATTGTAATGGTATCAATCAATGTGCTTCTGAAGAACATTTTTAACAATGTAGAGGGAAAAAAAGAGCCTTATGTTAGTAAATTTATGTTGGAAAAAAACCCGCAAAACTAGGAAACACTGAATGGGTGGGTTAGGTGGCAAATCTGGTGCACCTGCACTGGTGTTTTAATTCTGACAAAGCAAGGTTTCAAAGCAAAGCTCACTTACCATGGTTTGCATTAGAAGATAGTCTTCAAATGCACAGATAAGAACTCCCTGCGTGTGAAACAGAACTGAAAGATATGCTCCAGAAGTGCACTCCAACTCCGATCAACACTCAGTCCCCTGAACCAGGCTACAGCTAATGCTCCTCAAACAGCCCTCAAAATGCATAAACATTGTGCTACTCTAACCCTCCTGGTGTTTAGCACCAGTTATTAGTGAAGCTAATCACATGTGTATGCTCAAAAGGGAAAAAAAACATTAGGAGGCAACCAAAAATACTATAACAAGTGTTGCACAATTATATAACAATAGTCATTGCTACACTAGGTATTTATTGTCACTGCTAAAATGAAGAGACATCTTTTTGTTAGAGACTTAGAGCCTACAGTTAAATAAAATACAGTAAGACAGTCAGAAATGGCACTGAGAAATAGATTGTTTTGAAGAAAGAATACAAATTACTGATAGCAGAAATGAGATGCACCAATATTATTAGTATTTTGAATACAAAATAAAGCAGCAGAAAAGTTGAATTTCAATTTATTTGATGATGTACAAATTCACTCAGGAGACACTCCAGATCTCTTTGGTAAACAATTTTTGAAGAACATTAAATTGGTTACTAAAGTACTGAAAGACAGAATTTTTGGTTGAATGCAAAGGTATTTTTCTTAACAAATGTCTTAAGGTATTAAATGTATTATAAGATAGATCAATCTTTGTAATTCAAAGGGACAAGTCTAATTACAAACACATTATTGTGAAACATTCAGTGGACTTTTAATAGTAAGTAATTATTATACTTAGAAATAATGAATTCTATTCTTCTTTAATGATTTGAAGTAAGTCTGTCAGACATGACAAACAAATGATTATCCAAAAAAGTCAGGTAAGCAGTGGAATTAAAAAAAAATTTATTGCATTGGAAAAAAAAAAACCCCACAAACATCCACACCAAACCCCTGATCTTCTGATGAAGCAAGTATAAATATGGGCACATTTGTCTCTCGATTTGAGACTGAAGTAATTATTTCCCTTAAATTGTCTCAAACCACAGTCACTGTACCCTAAGGTATCGAAAATGCAATGTATTCCATCTTGTTGCAGTTTTTCACAATCTTGATGGGAATGCCAAGTCAGTTACAGAATACAAGATTTAACTTGTAATCAGTTATTTATTGGCCCTGTTTAAGACATTCTACCACACTGTCAAGTTCTTGGCAAGATATTAGAAAACAACTGGGGGCAAGAAAACCAAATGCCAACAAAAGCAATATTGTAAGTGACATCAGTGCTTCAGTATACATTTGTATTGTCTTCCTGAACCACTACAGCAACAATATTTAGAACCCTGACAAAATATGCTGTAGGCTGCTAGATGTAAAATTTTAGCTAACAAACTGTAATTGAAGTCATAGGTGTATCTAAGCAGAGTTCTAAAGTGCTACAAAACTGCAGATTACTCCCAAATAGTTTTGATGAAAATACGGATAGCTAGCAAATGGAATTTTTCTATTCCACTCTTTTACATTGTAAAACACTGTTTCTAAGTTCTCTTAAAACATTACTGTTCCTTGTTAAAAACTGCTGTGCTACGGAAAAGATGTGCATTTTATTGGTTTAAAAGAAGAATAATTAAAACCCTATGCCTACAACTTCACAGTATGTTTTACAGTAACTCTGAACAACTACATGACCTTAATGCTAGCGGGTGTCATCAGATTCCTTATCTAGTGAATAGTTCATAGTAACATACAGGAGACAACCTTTTAGGTTTTTTCAAGTCTTTTCTTGTTCAAAACACTGGTAAATCTCCAACCTTATTACTATATCAAAAGTGACAAACTTATTTTTACCTTTATATCCCTGGTCTGTTTCCCTGAGATCAATCACAGTAATTGGTTTAAAATTTAAGTCCCACAAGCGCACACAGCCATCCCTGCCACCAGTGGCAAATCCCTCTTCGCACGCATTCATGCTGAAGATTCCTGCCTAAAGAGAGAAGAAAGTTATTTTTAACAAAAGACACACATTAGAGATACCAATATGAAATTGGAACTCTTGTACATGCAAGTATTGATTGTCTTCCTACCTGTTATGTTATTTAAAATAGCATAAACATATGCAACTAATACAAGCTTTAAATATGAAAGAATCAGAAATGGAAACAAAGGCAAAATGAGCAGAATTCACATTTAATGACAAACAGTAAGATAAGAGAATTGCTGCAATACTGCTTTCATTCTGATGCAGTGATGCGGCTTCTTATGCCTAGAAAGCGTTCAGTTTCATATCCCCTTGCCTTAGGGGCTGGTCCAACCCTCACAAAAGGCAGTAGGAAGGTTTCCACTGACCTCCATTACACTTGGTTCAGGGCCTTTGCTGCTATTACACAGCTTCTATGCAACCAGCCAAAAAACATCTGGGATTCTTTTTTGTATTTTAAGTCAAGGAAGATTGATTTAAAATTTAAATTTAGAAGCAAAATATAAAGAAGAACAGTGATCACTTCACACCATTTAAAAATACATAATATAAGCTCTTCCTGAAATCCACCTTCAGAATACATGAAGCCTAACACATTTTCTGTAACTCAGTTAATACATTGTCATATTAAAACCCCCGTCAGCAACCAAGCACCACACAGACGCTCATTCACCTCCCACCTCCCCCAGTGGGATGGGGAGGAGAATCAGAGGAAATGACAAGAAAACTCATGGGTTGAGATAAGAACACTTTAATAATTGACAATAAATTAAATAAAATAATGATAGCAACAATACTATGACAAAAATACTACTAGTAGTAATATATATTGAAAATAACAGGGGAAAAAAACCCTAAACAAACGATACCACCGCTCACCACCTGCCAACCTATGGTCAGGCAGACCCCAAGCAGCAAGAGCAAGAGCCAGAGCCCTCAGTCAACTCCCCACAACTCGTACACTGAGCATGACATCTTATGGCATGAAATACCCCTTGGGTCAGTTTGGATCAGCTGCCCGGGCTGTGTCCCCTCCCAGCTGCGTGTAGAGAAGCTGGGAACAAAGGGTCAGTACGAGAAACTGAATGAGTCCTTGGCTTCATATAAACATTGTTCGACAATAACTAAAAACATCAGCGTGTTATCAACATTCTTCTCACTACACATCCAAAACATAGCCTCATAGTAGCCACTGTATTTGAGTTAAATCATGATATATTATATAAACAGCATACACACAGGAAGTTAAAAAAAAAAAAGTTCTATGTTTACTGAAAACATTTAATATTCAGCTATAAAAAAAACCCAGGAGAGTATTAAAAATGATGGAAGGTAATATCTGTCTCTAACTCCTGTCCAAAAGACGACAGAACAGCCAACAACAGATATACAACTTCTATAATGTGGTTCTAAAATTTCACTTTTGTAAAGAAGTAAATGTAAAGTTCCAATAGCTTCCTTGGTTGGGGGTCTGGATTTTACAGTAATAAGGCACATTAATCCCAAAAGTGAAAGCAATTTGCAGAAGAATTGACTTTTGGCAGAAAATAAAGCTGTACGCTTACAAAACAGACTGGAATCCAGTGTTGTGCCTTGTGAAAATTTGCAGGTGCTCATTACTATTTTCTCTCCTACCAAGCTAGTTTTTCTTCTTTAATTATAAATAAGTAAAATATCATGATGGACTGATCCTAATGAAATATGCACTGTGCTTCTGCAGCATCAGGTAACAAGGACAGCATTCTTCAAGTTGATATCTCAACTTGAAATACCTCAGCTTTCACCAAAAAAAAAAAAAAAGGGACATCAAATGACAGTCAAAACTAAAAGACTAAAGTGACAGAACTCAAATTTTCTGATGAGACATGTCCATCCTCAAGACAGATTTTTAAGACTAGTCATATTTTCAGGAGTAGTACGTGCCTAAACAGAAAGGTAGTGGAATTTTGAAGTCATAAGCAGATTAGAATGCTAACTCCCATTAACTCTAACGTCCTGAAAATCCTCTGTTTTCTTTAGGAGCCTAGAGGTTTTTGAAAATATACTCCAACCTCCATTTGTTTCTCTGTATATGTGTCTGTCTGTTTTACTGCATTAACCTTTTAGTGTCACTGAGCAAATACAAGTCTAGGGGAATTTTGGCTCATTTTGTACCATATACTGAATTCTGTCCAAGTTCTGGCATATTTAAATCTTTTAAAGCTCTTTTTGGAATGAAACCTTGATAATAGAATTATTCTCTTTTCTCTAATTAACTCCTTCCAAAATCCATGATTTAATTAGTCAGTATTAAAAAAAGAATGAGACATTTGGCAATGTGGGAAGCTGGCTGACTGTTCTGAAGATAAGATCAAGTGGATCCAGGATTAATCTGTTTTCCATTTCACAGAATATCCTTATCTTGAAAAGGACATACTGGTTGTCAAGGAGATTTGGCAGATGTTGTGCTTGCTCAATCTCTTGAAATGCAATAGGACATCCTCATTTGTGTCCATGTGCCACTGGAATAGAAGAATTAGATGAAAACTAAAAAAAAAAAAAGGTCCCTTATTAATGAGAACTGTAAGTACCTAATGGAAGAAGCTGAGCTTTGCTACTCTTCGTTTAATAGGCCCACACTTAATGGGTAAAAGACAGATTCTTTAGAAGCTTGGCCAATCATGATTCTTCCACTAAATCTGTCCTTTTCGAAACTGTTAAGATGGTTAATGCAAATCAACTTTGGAGTTTTCATGATTCTCTTAATTCTTCATCCCGAAATTGTCATTAACATAACTTGATTCTTGATGGTCAGCATCAGTTCTAGCAGCAATACGATGCGAACCATCTTTGTTTGATCCAGCTGAATAATGTGAACAACAAAGAATGTGCTCTTGAATCAAAATAAAAGGTGTAGATCAAAAGTCTTGAATCTTGAAAGTTACAAAGTTTTGGCATACAGACTGCGTTCTGTTAGAAATTTTCCATTATACTGACTAATGAATGGGAAACTTCTGGAAACATCTCAAATTTATCAGCAGTTTTCTCAGAATGCAGAATATTTCCTATTTTTCCAATATCACCAGCTGGTATCACATCTGTGTTCCATCAAATTCAAAGAAGAGTTCAATGAGAGCAAACAAAGAATTAATTGTCCAAAACTACCAGAAATGATAGCTGATAGCTGGAAAAGTACAAAAACTGGACAAAGATGGTCTCTACTGCATGAATATTTTGCCACTGCTTGTATTCAAGAAGCTTCCGATAGTAAGGCAGTGTCAGGTTTTCTATTGCTGCGGGACTATCTTACCTTCAATGGACAAAAATCAAGTGCTAATTTATCTAAATGCAGTTGTTTATATAAAACCCACCACACTTACTCAACCTACGCAATTCCTAAAACACATGACTGCAGTTAGCTATAATTAGGACAAAGCCTTAAAGATCATATGGAAACTTCAAAAGCAACTGACTACCACTGAGCAACATGGAGAACAGAGACATTATACCAGTTCAGTAAGAATTCCAGTGCCTTCTTTTTACTCCCAGAAATAATTCAGGACACGGATGTAAAGCAACACATACACTGGGAGCTTACTCTAAGATAATGTCTCTCCCAGTATATGCTGCATAGCAAGGAAATTGATTGCAAACATTTAAGACTGGTGTCAGTAAGCTTACAGTGGAGAGCCACTATTGTGAAAAATAATCTTCCTATCTAACAAATCACCCATAAAACAGTTTAAAAATGGGTATACTACGATATAAAAAAAAAAATTGTCTATATGCCTCTTGTGTGATGAAATAATTGGACAGTTACCTTTCCAATTCATGACCAGTTTAAGCAGCAGGAGAAAAATACTGCATGATTTAATGTGTTGGTACATGGCCTCAGCTTAAAACCATTCATTTATGTTCATTATATTGTTTCCATCTATATTTAATTAGTGTTCAGCCAACCGACATAGGCGTGCAATAGTTTTAACAGAGTACCTGTTATTTAACCTCAAGCTGTTATTTAACCTCAGTTTCTGACATCAATCCACACAACTTTAATGTGTACCTCTGAAAGACTATCTCAAAGTAAATTATTCAGCTGCTGAGAAAGCATCTTATGTACATTTACTATGCAAGGCAAAGGCATAGCACAAGGATCTTTAAGACATACAGTGTTTTTAAATAAGCATACTATTTTGGTTTAATACCCAAGTGTGTGTGTATATATATATATACACATATATATACATATATATATACATACATACATATATACATACATATATATATATATCTTAATAGTCATGGCCTACCTTGAATTTAAAATATGTAAGATGATAAAATAAATAGAAGAATCTATAGGCTGTTCTTTGTACTGGTACAAAAATGAGATATCAAATAAAACATCTTTTTATTATTTTAGTCAAGGTCTATATTAGCTTTCCAGAACCAGAGGCACTGCCTACAAATAACTTCATGTGCCAATGAACTCGCATATGCTCTCATGTTGCTCTTTCTTTCTCCCCTTTAAAACTTAATCAATAGTAGTATTCAAATTCTAGTTTTGCTGATCTTGCCTAAAGTTTCCCATTGCCATCCAGTGTTCCCTGCACATGAAAGGTGTGCCATTACTCTAAACCCCTGCTCGTTTTCAACTTTTCCTACTTCTGCATAAACTCTCCGTCCCTCTTCCAACAAATTTTCTAGTCATCCCAACCTACTTGCTTTCAAGTTTTTGTTTCTACTCAAACTTAGATAGGAATCTGCTAGAAACTCTTCTGTGAACAGTTCTTAGCACTGCTGTGACAAAAGACAGATAATCTTAGCTGTGAATTTTTATTTTTCTGGCTAGTGTCACTGTCTGTTTCCTTGGTTGCTTATACTGCAACGTCATTTATTTTTCACATTGAATTACTCTGAAGGTAAACACTGTCTTTTCAGTTAGGGTAATTAACTGAAGCAATTAACTGATAGTCAAACTTTGAAAAGAACCTATTTTCTATATTAATGCAGACCACTCCCAGCTGGATAGGCTATATCCCTGCATCACTAATGTGCTGTAGAAAATGTTTCCCTGCATCCCAACACCTACTATTTTTATGCTACAAGAAAGGAGTATGTGGTACTAATAATGAGACATCGTCTTGGCAGAAATTTAAAGTTTAATTCAAGCCTCTTGAGGAGTAGTGATGTGGGATGATCAACAAGCACGCAGGGATGACAATTCCAACACCAGCATAAAGGATAGAAATATGTATGGATTCCCCTACTACGTGCACACTGCGTTTTAACAACATATGCACATCGCAAATGTGCATCGTTTACACCTGCATTCTCTTTAAAAGAAGTGGACAAGAAGGACATGATATATAAAATTAAATGCAAATAACTGTAAAATATGATGATAATAGTTTAGTATGGATGAAGAGGTGCTCTTATTCCAATCTGCTATATTTTGTGCTTACAATAGTCTGACACTATTATCCTTTAAGGTAATATTTTATTGAAAAGGTTTTGTTGTAAAGTAAGCTTCCAGAAGAGATTTTATTGTTTTGGGTCCACCCACACACACACACCCTGAAACTGGTGAGATTTCTAGTGACACTAATCTCTTGTGAAAATGAATTCCAAAGCCATGGACTAGTGCCCCTACTTAATTTTCAGTACCACAAAGTACAATTCCATTGAGTCTGAAGGACAGAGCCAAAAATAGAAGGCTAGATGAGACCTACCCCAAGGTCATCTGAGCTCCATTGAATGACGCTACTCAAGATAAGGAGCAGAGCAATTCAAATTTGATCTTGTGGTCAACAAAGAACTGACACAGCACATAGGGTAATGGAGCAACAAGCTCTCATCATCCTACGTTTATCAGTTGGGTCATTTCACACTGAAATAGCTGAAAAGCACTGCATTATTCCAAGAAATAAACTGTTGCAATTTTAAATACTCTAAGTAATAAATACGTAAATATACAGGACAGGTGTTTCCTACAGCCCCAAACAGGATGGGAGGGTATTTTCCTGCTCAGTTTTGCTTTTGGGAATACAGGTCTGCCTATGCAATACAAGCATCTTAAATATTTCATTTCACTAACTTCTACTTTTCAGTGTTAATATCCACATCACCTTAGGAAAACATAGACGAGAATAGAACAGTATTGAATGCTAAATACGAACACTAAAACCAGATCTGAAGGTATAGAGTATGAATCAAGAAATATTTGAAGGCTAAAATATCCCCTCATACTTCTTGGTTTATAATTTGGTCCTTCTTTGACACATTTTTCTATAGAGAAGCATATAGAAGAGTAAAGCATGTATTTTTTATATACATACACTTATATGCATATAAAGAAATCTCAAATGCATAATACAGTCTAGGATGTTTCCCACACTTATATTCTTCCTAATCTTATCTTTGTTCATATTCAGATACGCTGTCACTATACAGCTGTCAGAATAAGCAGTTAAATTGCTTTTAAATTATTAGTTAATTCAACAAGCTGCAACCATCCTGAATGTACATCTCTACATAATCAGTAAACCAAGAGTCTCCTTACTACAGACTGATGCAATGTCTCCCACACAAATATCATTCATCACTTTTTGTCCCTTCTATTTAACCTGATCAAATCATGAAGAGTGATTTTAATACTTCAGATGTATGTATCATCCCATTCAGTCCAATACTGGAAGTTAAAACAAACCCATTCTTATAAGAAAGATTAATTAATTGATATTGATTTTTACCTAGAATTTCAAAGCTGCAATATAGGAACTCGTATGCTTGTATTTTCACCCTATTTTAAACAGTTACTAAGGAAACTTCAAACATTGTCTGGAAAGTACAATGCTCTAGACGTTTCAGGTCTTGTGAGTTAAAAAAACCCCATTAATTCATTGGCTCTATTTTCAAAGTGACACTTGGACAAGTTACAAGAATCTTGCATTATACTACCTTACATGACTTAGTACTATGAGAGGAAATGAGGACACTCCCAGTTTGGCATGCACAAATTAGATTGCACACCTCTAAGTGATTTTTTTTTTTGTTGCCTACTTCAATCACAAAACCATATGCTTTGAAAGAAAATAAAATGAAAACTTACATAGCAAAAATATAATCACTTTTAAACATTTTGATTAAAAATAAAAGAAAAGCTTACCAAGGACTTTGGAAAAACTTTATTTAACTTTCACTGATACATCCTCACTTTTCAAAGTTGTATACCATTCTGAAAAGCTGAATGAATACAGTAAAAGGCAGCAACACAGGACAAGGAAGAGTGATTGAGTCAAGCTAAAATGACTAAATGTGTGTGCCTACAAACAAGCTGGGTGTTTGGGCTCACATTACAGTTCACAGAACCAACGGAGTTGAGAGCTGCCAGATGACCAGCCAGAAGAACTTGATTCACACAATGACAGAATAGCTGATGTCAGGGGAAAACTCTGGAGAGCTTCTAGTCCAAACCCCTGCTCAAAGCAGGGTCAGACAACAGCAGGTTGACCAGGGCTGTGCCCAGTCAGGTCGTGAGCATCTCCAAATCACAGAGGTGGATGGAGACTGCCTCTCTGGGGACCTGTTTCTTTGATTCAACACCAATTGCCTAAATATAGGAGTCCAGGCCCTCTGAGATGCTTTTGGATTAATCAGACGTCCACAAAAGAAAGTCAGATAAAGCAAATCCATATTCTTTATGGGAGGCAGCTATATACCAAACTCTGGTATATAAAATGTCACTATATATACACCCACGCATGGGTAATCGAACAGAGTAATAGATGTCTACTCAAGGATAAATGCATTCCAGGCTCTATTCATTACGAAGTCCTTCATCAGTGACAGAGAGAGACAGTACATAAATAGACACCTAAATGTATTTCTTCATCTAGCATTGACTTTCTACCATAACAGCAACCTAAACCAACATAAAGAAAGGAGAGGAAAAAAATATTCCAATTAGACATCCTGAACCTCATCACTGAAACTGTTCAGGAACACAGACCAGATGATCTCTTGCACTGCCCTTTCCTATTTAACATTTTATATTAATTTGAAGAGAGATACTTACAGCATGTGCTCCCTGTATTGTTCGTACAAGGTTGATTCCTTTCCATACATATATATCTCCATTCAGTGCACCAGAATATGTCACTTCATCCCTTGCACAGGCTAGGCACAGTATAGTTTGCAGATCACCAGTTTTGCCAAAAACACCACGTTTTGGTGTCAACGAATTGCCACACAAGCTCCAGAACTGCAATACAGTGATTTAGAAAGACAGGTATTTCACTAGTATCCTATAATTTAATATATGCATCTGAAACAGAAGTACCTTACCTCCAACAGACATCTTCAATCATACCCTTTTCCCTGCTTTAGTCCTCCAGTTGGTTAACAGATTTTGTGTTATTAGCCAACTTTATCTTTCAATAAATACAGCATAGCAGACTAGTTTGAAAAGAGTTTTGGGGTATCAGTATTAAATCAAACTGCAATTCTTTCAAATTATAGTTTGAGAGTGTTGCATTTTCTGTCATTTTTGAAAAGTAAAATAAAACAGAATTATCAGATCTTTCTTTGATGTTGACTTCTGCTTTGCAAATGCCACATTTGTACTTTATGTTACTTTAGGCATTTAAAAATGCAATCTAAGCATGTAAATTTGTGATTAGGCTGCTATTTCCTCTGTTTGAAAGCAGCTGTTTTTATTACAGACTTACCGTTTCTCACATTAAACTAAAAGTTCATTGTATAAAATGCAACATATTTTTCCCATCATGGGAACCTACACATTAGAGCAATAGAGAACTTCCAAGCTGCCATCTGCTGCTGTTATGTGGTAACACAGAAGACAGTGCATGGGAGAAAGCAGTGACTTTAGGAAACGTATTTGATGGCAGTCAAGCATTGATAACCCTGTTGACAGAGTTAAACCCAAAAAAAGAAGTTATTGCTGCATGGCAGTTGGAACATGGATCAAAAAAAGACATGAACTGTCCAAATTATGAATCCTGTAACAGGTACAGAGTGTTGAAATAGACAAAAGTAGAAATAACAGCAGGGAAAAGAAAAAAAAATTAAAAGAAAGATCAAGCATTTTCATTTCTCTTGTAAAACGTCTAGTGTAATCGTGAATCATGACTGTAGTTCCTAAGTAGTAATATTATTCTTGCAGAGGATCTTTCATATTACAATTATATATTCCTTTTATATTCTATTTTTATATATTATAGTGTATAAACTACTGCAGCTTAAATATTTTATGAATTAACATTTATTTCATTACCTTGATGTGTTTTACACCACAGCTGACGAGCTTGTTTGGCTGGTACAAATCCCAAGAAATATCAAATATCTGCATAAAATAAACCCCAAGGATGTCAGCAGAGATGGCCTTTCTAGCATGGGACAGTTAGAACAGGAAAAACTTGTAGCAATTAACAGACAGCCTGACATGTTTTAAATGGAACTACTGGAATTACTTTCTTTATCCCCTCGTTTAATACTAAAATTGCAACGTATAGCTCATAATAGTTCTGATTCTTCCTAGAGAAATTACAACACATAATAAAAACAACGTAAAGGTTCATTTACAGACTAGAAGAATTTAAGAGATTATTTGCATTTTGATTTCCTATAGTGGAGTTAGGGTGTAGGAAGTGCATTAACTTTGCACTTCCCTCTACAGGCTTACAGTCTCAAACCATACACAAATAAATGACAAGTTACACATTTTATTTTAGAAGTAAATGCATACATCTTAAATATCTTCACATATCTTAAATATATGTCCAAGCTTTATTCAAATTCAATTTCTAACACAAAATGTTTTTTGCTCATATGTACCTCTAGTACATATACATAGACATGGTCTAACAAACTAAAATTGCACTGACACTCAAATTCTTCAGTTATACTTACTCTGTCTGTATGACCAGGAGCCATCGATAGTAACTTTCCTCTCCTCCAGTCCCATACACACACTGTGTTTTTCGAATCCAAACCAACCGAGACCAAACGCTAAAAATGTCCAAATTAAATAAAGTAACTCAATCTATTAATGAAAGCCAGTCATCATTTTGAATGTAAAAAACCCCATAACATATTTGAGCTAGAAGCAATAGCTACATTTCGCTACAGAAGAAAACTACAGATATATGCCAAAGCTTCCGTAGATGTGTCTCTTCAGCTACATTATGATCAGAAAGAAGTAAGATCTTCTCGGATAACAACAGATTTCTCATTTATAATGTTTAATATGTATCTAGCACCCACAGCAAGCAGCAGTCAGGAGACATTTGCAAAAAGGGTTGATCTTACTGCAGTTAATGAAACTACATGTGTTTACCTTTACTTACCTATAATTTGCCAAATGTATTTATTTTACAAGTTCAGGAGATACAAAGAAAAAAATATTTTCTTCAATCTTCTTGGAAACAAAACCAGATTATAAACAGTTAAAGCTTTAAGAGTCTTTTGCTTGATTTTTGAAAACATGTATGAGTAACTACTCCTTTCTGAATCCCTCCTTAAATCAGAATCCAACAAGACCCCGAACACACAAATTTCACAAAGTTTTTAATATTCAGAGGCTGAAGTCAGTTGAACTGTAAAACCAGGAAAGACAAAGATTTTTCCAAGAAGCTGCAGAAAAAGTTCAAGGTCTTCTTATGCTCCGCAGCCTGTCTTGTCTTCAACTGTGAAAATATTCTGCACAGATTTCTTGAACATATAGTGGAAGTGGCCTGTTGGCTAATATCTGTTAACCAGTCAATGCTATATTCCTATAGAATACCTCAACAGAAAGGGTAATAGTATTAAAGATTGGATGAAAAGAGACTGAGTGATTTTGAGTTTTGTTTTTAAAGAAAATTAAGTCTCTTTGCAGTTTATGCGTGAATTGTGATATCTTAGTTTTGATAAATGAAGGCTTTGCAAATATTTAGGACTAAGTTTTTTACACTGTTTGGCAAGTAATACCTACACATATTAAAGACAAATTTTGTTTCAACTTTTATGTAGATTATCAAAGTGAGTTTGTAAAAACAAAGGAAAACCCAAATTTAATTAAAAATTTAATTAAGAAACCTATTCCCAATAACATAATTCCTTTACTGCCTGAAAAGCTACAAGATTATGAGAAAAGAAACAAGTTAAGTACAATTGCTATCACTGCTCCCTATTTACTAATGCCAACTTCAGTTTTTCAGACACTGCAAAGTCTAACCTTTCTATTCCATCTTTGAAAACATTCTTGGAAGGAACACCAGTTTCAATTCCAGCTACACTTCCAAGGAGTTCAATTCCAGTCCTACTGCAGAATGAGAGGTGTAAATGCAGACTAGTTTTACTGCATACCCATCACAAAAAATGGGGGTGATGCCTTTCCAGACACAAGGCAGTATGCTGACCTCTCAAAAAGGGAGATTAAAATTATGTTCTCTGTTCTCGTAAGAACTATAAAATCTTGTTACCAACAGCACATCTCCAGAGTGGAGTAGAGCTCAGGGAAGACTGAAAAAAGCAAACAGCAAATGGGAAGAATGTACCATAAAGCAAGCTGAACTTCTCTTCACACCAGGGAGTATGTAGGGTAACCTCAGTTTTAGATAACACAACTGCACCAGTGAATTATCAGGTTGCCCAAGACAATTAACAAAAGAATAAATAAAGAATAAATAATGTCTTCCTGAGCTAGCCAGACCAGCTGGGGGTGGGGAGGAGAGTGTGTATGGGGCACAGCCCAACACTAAGTGTAACCCTAACAACTAGTAAAATAAACTTTGGAGGGGGACAATGGGTTTGACCTCACTTCAACCCCCATATTCCTTCCCCGTGACTGGAGGTGCCCAGCATCACCACAGTGGTCATACAGACACCATTAGTAGGAACCACCTTTCTTGTGGTTCTTTCATCTGCATATTGCAAATGCTCGTGCTGTGATTTCAGCATCACTCGACTACATCAAAATTCCATATAATAACAAATATATCAAGTGTATTTTTAATGTTAAACATTAAACCCTCTAAGAGAACCTGGTAAAGGACTCTGAGAAGTCTGGATTTAAAAGAACAGGCGAGATGTAGACAAACATTTTGCAGATATTTCTGAACTGGATTTGGCTTTTTACCATATTTCCATTTGAGCTATTTGAGACAAGACACAGACCTTGAAAACACCTGTATCCAGTTTTCCCTCGAGACCACAAAATTCTAACGAATGCCAAGAAAAAGGTGATGACATCAAAATGCTGAGAAAAGCAGACTGCCTAAAATCTGACAATTTATGACTGTAAGCCTAAGATTCAGCACTGGGTACTCCTAGAACAAATCACAGATCTACATTCAAATCTCTCCAATGCACACAGGGCAACTGCACTCCAAAAAAAGGATTGAAGTCCCCCGACTCTTAAGTAGATACATTTTGACCATAAATTAAGGCTATTCAAGAGAGGAACTGACATGAGTTCACACCGACAAGAACAATATAGAGAAAAGATATCGCCGTCAACTAAAAATGATATTCTAGAAAGAAGACAACTCTAGAAGTTGACTTTCTAAACAATGAGAAATCTAAGTGATAAAATCTGTAGATCATTCAAACTAACTCAAAACCTCCCCACAATTACAGCATGTTTTAACAGAAACAAGTTACAGCTAGGCTTTCCTTTATTTGTGTTCAATAGAGCTCTATTTGATACTGGCTTATAATAATGACAGCAACTGGCTCTACAATCCATCCTCACTTGAGAAAGCAGTAGTAAGTAACAGACACTGACCTTTTCAGCAAGCAAAAGAAACTGAGAATATAGCTAAAACTGAATCACAATGCAATGCTAAGTGGGAGGGGAGGAAGTGCCACACAGGACCAGGAGAGCACAACTGCAGAAAGGACTTTCATGGCTAATACCTCTTCAGCTGCTACCCAATATGTATTTTCCTTTCCTATCAATCAAAAAAGCATCTTTAAGCATAGGAGCAATTATCTGGTAAAAATTATATCCCTTAAAAGTAGCAGCTCTGAGAACCAATTTACTACTCAGAATGCTTATAGTAACATAACTATAATCCAATAAAACTTTTTCTTGACTCTTAGATCCAGGATACATGGGTCTGAACAATCAAATTGGAGAGCCACCAACGCATGCAAAATGCATGACAGTGAAGGGGATACCGCCTGAAGACATTCAGAGCCCACGATCAGTAGCACAACGGGACTACCATCACCTTGTGCACAAGACAAGCTCCTGCACAGGGGAGGTCCGCTGCCTCCAACCATTTGGTGTAACCCTGAACTGTGGCCCACTGGCCACAAGAACCTCCCTAGCACCTCACCTTCATTCAAAACCCTCTTGATGTTATACTTCTCTTGCCAAATGTGAATATTTGTCAGTCTCTACCAATAGCAACTTCTTTTTCTTGAACTCGAGAATTTTTCCTTAAAAATAGAAAAAGCTACATAACAAGATTTCTGACATAAACAATTTATTTAAGTACTTGAAAAAATAATATTAATTACATACCTGACCGTCTAAATCAAAAGCCAAACAAGCTATACCATGTGTGTGAACATCTTTCAGAACAGACACAGTTTGCACAGTGTACGAGTCCCACACGCAGATATACGGTTCTTTTCCAACTTGACCTGTCGCCACCAACACACGTTCAGGATGCAAAGCAAGGCTGCCAAAGAAAAAGATACAGAATTTTTTTGCATGAAGTTTTTCCATTTGCCTAGTTGGTTGCATTGATATTTTTTCTTTAAAATTACTGACAGTATTTTCCCATTGATAGATATTACCATGTCATTTTGTATCACAGATTTCACAATAGCTGTAAAATTCCCTAAATACAGTACACACTGCCACATTTCTTGAATTTGAACCTTGATGTGAGTCAGGAAGATAAGATTTCAAGAGTTGGCTATTAATTTTGGCTAAAAATTTTCTTTCCTTAGAGGGATAATTTCGAGAGACTGGTGGACAGAACCACTAAGAACATATACTAAATGTATTTATCATCTCAACATCACCTGGAAAGGAGAAAGGTTGAGCACTTTGCAATGGTAACATGATCTTACACCTGAACAAAGATTTTGATAAATGAAGTTCGAAGGGCGAAGACAAGGGGAATCTATAACCATAGAAGAAATAGCCAGAATAAAGCTTCTCAGGAAATTACCTGGGTGGAGGAGGGGAAGTTGCTTCATGTTTCATGAAGCCACAGTACACAATACATTTTTAAATTTTTTTCTATTTTAATATAGCATTCCAGTTGGTTGACAGTGCTTGCCAAGTTCCATGTGCACAACTCAGAGGAACCTTTAACTTCAAAGTTTATACAAAAGGTAAAAAGCCTCTGGGCCTTTCAACTTTTCTGTGGAAATTCCTCCCCTTTGCTACTCCATGTTATTCTCAGAACAGGGATCAAGCATCCAACATTTCCCCACTTCAATTCCAGAGTAATTTCTCTGGTTCTTCCTTCTTTATTTGACAGAGCAACTTTGTAATTAAAAACCAATGCAGAAAGGAGCTGGCAGGAAAAACTTATCACATTTCATTTCTGTTCTGCCACCTAATCCTGACCAACACCTGCACATCTCCCAGAGCACACAGAGGCAGATGGTGTGCGCACGGGGAAAAGAGAAAAGCATCTGGAGGGGGAGAAATGCTGCATTCAAAATGATCTAATTTTTCCAATGACTCCACACAGAGGGAGAGATAAGACCACATGGGCAATAAAGAAGTTCAAGAAGAGAAAGGAAGTGAAAACAATAAGCAAGTGACACACACACAAAAGACAGACTGAAACTAAGAGAAAGTAAACACACAGCAGCCTTATTTATGACTGACTCATGACCGCTTCAGTCCCATGCTTTTCTCTGTTATTGGTACACGGTGCAGTTTCAGGCAAGTGAAAACCACCCTACAAAGGCAACTTTGAAAAACGCTCAGCCACCCCCCCTAGACGTACACAAGTGCAAAAACACCTGCAGCCACAACATGGGAAACATGTTCCAGTAACCAAAAACTAACTAACTTAGCATGTCTTTAACTCCAGACCAGAAGCGACAAATGTAACACATCAGAGGTGGAAGGGAGGATAAAGGCACTACCAAGGGCCAGGAAAACATTGTCCCAGCTCAGTGTGCCAACTAATTCCACTTGAAGTGTATTAGGTGAATATAGACAATGTTTGCCCTCTTCCTAATTAATAAATGGCAAATAACAATCAATAGCAATATGATAGTATTAGTTCTTTCTATATCATGATATAAAATACTGGCTTAAACTGAGCTCAAATTCTGTCTTGATATGGGATAATGCAGCACAAATTAAGATCCAATACTTGTATTTTAATCACAACAGACAACACTAGAATTAGCAATGTTCTTCACTTTTTCTTCAGTCTCTATAGTAAATTGCTAAAAACCTTTCTAAACAACCATTGAAAGCAGAAAAAAAATCAATATACAATATATATTTTAAAACAGGAAGCTTTTTTTGAAATGCCAATATGCAGGGATTTCAGGGAAACTGAAGAACAGACTGCAGTAACTACCTGAAAACACCTTCCCTCACCATTTCTTCCAGACCCAAGGTGTGAAGGATAGGTTAAGCACCATTTGCAAGTATTTTATCTCACTGGTTATCAGGACAGATGGAAAAGGGAAGCACAGAGTCAAGTGACTGCTATTCTATTATCAACACTAAGAAAAGGAACTGTCACACTTATTTACTGATTTTCATATGAACTGTGAATGATAGGATGCTGCTTTCCCCAATACCCAAGTCTTGCCTATTACTACGCCCATGAGGCACCATGCAGGATTCCAGGTCTGAAATTTTGAGTTCTGATCAAAACTCAAGAATTAGGCTCCAGTTTTAAGCAGTCTGAAGACTCTTTCAGTTCCTTCACTGGACTATGAATGATTAAGTAATCCCTACAGGCATAGCAATTAATAAAAAAATATAGTATTTTGATGTAACCTTTAGCACGAAAGCACTGATACAACCCACATGTTCAGGAACTTTCATTATTAAAACAGTCCTGAGCAATTCATTGCAAACAGCTTCTTAGTGCAAACAAAAAAAACGTAACTCAAATGTGTGCCCAGAAATGCATAACCATAAACGTCTGCTATCCGGGGACTACAGTGACTCATGGGTACGATGCAGTTAACAGGATGAATAAATGAGTGAAAGTTGTCTCTGGATACCCCAAGCAAGATCTCCAAGACACCTCTAGAGAGGCGTTAGTAATGTAACAACTGTTGGGAGGGTATTTGAAGTAGTTACTAACTATCCATCCAGTCAGTCCCTGAGAACAGGCAGAAAAGCACCAATGAGGCTCAGCTCTTAAGCATTTCTAAATCTGTTGGTGTGGGCTCTGTGGAGTCAAGTACACTGACTCCTCACAGATTTTCTTCCATTTCTTCTCCTACAAAGAAGGAGATTGCTTAGTAGGATGAGAAGCTCTGCACCCAGAAGGCGAGAACTCGTGTTTCTTTTACTGCCCTGGTAAATGAAAGCTGGGATAACCTATCCAGGTTAGGCTGCTGATGCCGTGCTTGCATCTAGCCCACACAGCTTGACTGCAAACTTGTGCCTGGTTTCCTTCCTCTCCCTTGAAGCATGACTAAGCTGTTGAATAAGACACCGCTACTTGTCCAAAAAAGGAAACAAATATTCCTAACGAGACAGGTTCTTCAGTCCTCCTTGCTTGCTTCTAGCCTTTCTGATCTGGGCTTTTGAAGAACAGGTTGGAACTAGCGCCTTGTCACAGATACAGATACAAAGGAAAATGTCCAAAAGGTAAATGTGACCATGAAACAAAACAGGAATTAGGCTAACAAACTGCTGAATCAAATTAATTTTGAAATTGCCTATAAAATTTAATACTTCCGAGAAGATTTCAGAAGTGGAAAATTAAAAAAAAAAAATCTGCCTGTCACTACTGTAACAAAACCAAATAGCTAGACCTGTAGAGAATTGAGATTTCCCCTGATATCTCTGACTGACAGGTCTTTTCCTAGGTAGATACCCAAATCAGGCTGAAAGGCAGTATTACAATTTTAACAGTATACTGAAAAGGGGAATGTTTCTTGGTTTAGTGCACTCAAGATCCTCTTTTATACTACACACAGAAAAGGTTCTTTCTCCCTTTTAGAGCAGCAGGTAAACATTCCCGCCATTTTGACCATATCTAGGTACAGTAAAATACCTGTGTTAATGATCTTAAATATTAATGGCAGCCTATAAAAATGTATCAAAACTGTCCAATCTGTGTCTGTTTGGGATGAGACCAGAGACATGGATGTGACCCTCCAATTTGTGTGAGATTTGTAGTGGCAGAGGACCCTGAAGTAGAATAGTCTATAATAAACTACTTTATTAAAAAAGAAATTAAGATTTTTTTTCCCCTCTTTACTTGGTTTGTGCTGAGCATTAACAGGCATTGATTAATACAGACAAGCTGCAGACAAGGATACAGTATTAAAGATGATGTTCCCTTAGCAACAATATTGGATGAAAAGCCAAGAATATATTCATGTGACTGCTCCTGAGCTTCATAAAACTAGGGCACCAGTAAAAATGCACAAAAGAATACTGCAGTAAAATAACAGCATCTCAGACACCTATTAATTACATTAATGTCAAGTGTGAAATTGTTTCTATGAGTAAATACAAAAAAATATTTTCATTGTGTTTACAGATGTTTTACACTTACTTGTGGATATTTTCCTATTTGCTGTCATTTATCCCTATTTCCCCAGAAAGAATGACAGGAGAAACTACAAACCATTTCTGTCATACTATTTAAGTTGTTAAAACAGAAAGAGCTGTAATCTGCAAACACCTCACATCACAGTTTACACAGATCAAGTCAGAGCACATTTCCTTAAGACAAAACAAAGCAGCACTCACTCATCATGGAGCATCACTACTGGATCTTCCACATGGTTATTGTCATAGCACCAATAAGGCCAAGTACAGCTTCCTGGAGATTCCTTAAACTGTACAAGGATGTAAATTCAAAGTAAGAGTCTGAACTGGAGACAGGGAGGGTGGACTAAGACTGTGCACTGATTAGCCCCAGCTGCAGTTTATCGCCTTACCATTCCATATTCTTCCCCCCTCAGATCTGAATGTTTTTAGATTAATAAGAAAAGTTTATAAGCAATCTAGAGAATCCTGAAAATACATTTGGGCTTTTATCTGTTTCAAAACTCAGCAGAAAAAGGGGGAAGGGGCATGTGAAAGACCAGATGAACTTCGATGAGGGAAAAAAAAGTTAGGGACTGAGTAATACTGATAGAAAATTCCCAGCTCATCAAATTGTAAAACTGAGGAAAAAGACTCTGGGAACTATATGCCACTTCACACAGATGCCCGTTTTTGCCTTGCATACTCACTTCCTCCACTGCTGAGGAAGGGACCAGCTTAAGCTCTTTCATTAAAGAGTTACCATCTCTAAATATACATTCCCCTTTTTTTCAAATAGGAGTGATTTTGCCACTGCCAACAGGAGAACTCCTGTTCTGGCTAGGCAGGGGGTGCTGGGATTTTTTTCAAATTCTACATGATCTTAACACTTTCATCACCAGGTTTTCAGTATCTGATGAAAGTTTCTTTTCTAACACACCCCTTGAAAAAGGTGGCAGCAAATTTACTTGCTTTTTC